GCCGGTTGAGCTATAGGCGCCGAGCCAAGGGTATTTTCTAAAAATAACCCTATTTTCCTGTTTTAAGTTAAGTAAATATTTGTTAAAAAATGTTTCTGATATTGTTGTAGCATGTATTTCCTATCTTTTAGCCAGAAAAGACTGACCTTTATAAAGCTCCTTCTTGATATATTGAGATATTACCTTTGGGGAATTTTATTTAAGAGGCTGGGGATTTAGGGTTATTTGCCTCTGTATGTAAGTCACGCCATGTGTTTTACACTGGATAGAGAATGTTTTATAGGGCAATTCAGAATGTAGAATTTTATCCTACATTTTCCCTGTCCCACAAACCTTCTCACCTATGTCTACACCTATGATTATTTACTAGACTCCATTTCCAAAAAGCACCACTCCTTAATGTTGTGTTCCATATAGGGCAGAAATAAAAGCAGACAAAGAAAATCAAGTAATTTCACACAGATACTTAGTTAAGTTATATACACTATGGGAAAAATGTTATAGACATGAAAAACTGTCAACTTTGGGCTGGGTGCAGTGGCTCATGCCTGTAATCCTAGCACTTTATGAAGTCAAGGGCAGAGGATCGTTTGAGGCCAGAAGACCGAGGACAGCCTGAGCAACATACCAAGACACCATCTCTACAAAAAAATAGTAATTAAAAGAAATAGCCATGAAAAGAAAAAGTAAAAATATCAAGTCTGAAAGAAAAATTCACTGTTGGACAGGGTACAGTGATAGGCTATTTTATATATTGCTAATGGCAATATACCAGTATATCTGCATATCCTTACTGGAAAGAAATCTGACAAAATGTATACTATTTTTTGGTTTGTTTATTTCACATACAATCATTCTCAAATGGCAAGATGTATTAAAGACCTTATAGTGTGGCGCTTGTGGCTCAAAGGAGTAAGGTGCCAGCCAATATGCTGGAGGTGCTGAGTTCAAACCCAACCCCGGCCAAAAACCAAAAAAAAAAAAAAAAGAAAACCTTATAAAGGGTTATGATTTTGAACACATTAATTCCACTTTTGGAAATCCATTCCAAAGATTTAGTCAAAGATTATATAAGAATGTTGAATAGCAACATTATCGTCATTATTATTATTTTTTGAGACAGTTTCTTGCTCTGTATCCCAGGCTGGGGTACAGTGGTCTGATCATAGCTCACTGTAACTTCAAACTCCTAGGTTCAAGGGAGGAGTTACCTCCTATTATCTCAGCCTTCCAAGTAGCTGGGACTAGAGGCATAGAACCACCACACTTGGTTCATTTTAAAAACTTTTTTGTTAAAAAAAAAAAAAAAAAAGGGCCTTATTATGTTGCCTGGCCTGGTTCTCCAATTTCTGACTTCAAGGGAGCCTCCTGCCTTAGCCTCTCAAAGTGCTGGGAATATAGGCATGAATCACTGTGCCCTCCCACTGGCAACATTATTAGTGATGCAAAATCATAAATAATCAACAAGGCTCGGCGCCTGTGGCTTAAGTGGCTAAGGTGCCAGCCACATACACCTAAGGTGGCAGGTTCAAATCCAGCCTGGGCCCACCAAACAACAATGATGGCTGCAACCAAAAAATAGCCGGGCATTGTGGCGGGTGCCTGTGGTCCCAGCTACTTGGGAGGCAGAGGCAGGAGACTTGCTTGAGCCCAGGAGTTGGAGGTTGCTGTGAGCTGTGATGCCACAGCACTCTACCCAGGGGGACAGCTTGAGGCTCTGTCTAAAAAAAAAAAAAAGAAAGAATCAACAAGAATAAAGGTAAATGATAGTATGTCTACAAGATGAAATATTATGCAGACATACTTACTCTTTTTTTTAATTAAATGTTAGCTATGTACATTAATGCAATCATGGGGTACAGTGTGATGTCTTCATATACAATTTGAAATATTTTCATCAAACTGGTTAACATAGCCTTTATGTCATTTTCTTATTGTGTTAAGACCTTTATATTCTACTTTTAGAAAGATTCACTTGTACCCTTGAAAGATAGAAAGTGATCCCCCCAATCACCCTCTCTCCACTCAGCCCCCCTTCCTTCATCTTTCCTCCCTCCCCATATTCTTAGGCTATAATTAGGTTATAGCTTTCATAAGAAAGCTGTAAGTTAATTTCATAATAGGGCTGTGTACACTGGATATTTTTTCTTCCATTCTTATGATACTTTGCTAAGAAGAACATTTTCCAGCTCCATCCATGTGAACATGAAGGAGGTAGTCTCCATCTTTCTTTATGGCTGCATAGTATTCCATGGTGTACATATACCACAGTTTATTGATCCATTCATGGATTGATGAGCACTTGGGCTTCTTCCATGACCTGGCAATTATGAATTGGGCTGCAATAAACATTCTGATACGAATATTTTTGTTGTAATGTGGTTTTTGGTCTTCTGGATATATAATAAAGGAATTGCAGGATCAAATGGCAGGTCTATTTTTAGTTCTCTAAGTGTTCTCCAGATGTCTTTACAAAAGGAACGTGTTAGTTTGCATTCCCACCAGCAGTGTATAAGTGTTCCCTTTTCTCCACATCCACGCCAGCATCTCTGGTTTTGGGATTTTGTGATATGAGCTAATCTTACCGGATTTAGGTGATAACTCAAAGTAGTTTTGATTTGCATTTCTCTGATGATTAAGGATGGTGAGCATTTTTCATATATCTATAGGCCATGCTTCTTTAGAGAAATTTCTCTTCAAGTCCCTTGCCCACCGAGATGGGATCCATCTTCTTGCTAATATGTTTGAGTTCTCTAAGGATTCTGGTTATTAAACCTTTGTCAGAGACATAACCTACAAATATCTTCTCCCATTCTGAGGGCTGTCTGCTTGCTTTACTTACTGTGTTCTTGGCTGTGCAGAAGCTCTTTAGTTTGATCAGGTCCCAATAGTGTATTTTTGATATTGCTTTGATTGCTGGGGGGGCGGGGTGGTCCTCCTCATAAAATTTTCACCCAGGACGATTTCTTCAAGTATTTTCCCCTACACTTTCTTCTAGTATTTTTATGGTTTCATGTCATAAGTTTAAATCTTTAATCTAGTGACAGTCTATCTTAGTTAATGGTGAAAGGTTTGGGTCCAACATACTGACTTTAAAATAGAAAAATGCTACCAATAGTGCTAATGTTAAGTCAAGTGCCAAAATCTTGTTTAACATAATCAGGTCTATGTTATTTATTTATTTATTTTTTGAGACAGAGCCTCAAACTGTTGCCCTGGGTAGAGTAGTGTGGCATTACAGCTCATAGCAACCTCCAACTCCTGGGCTCAAGTGCATCTCATGCCTCAGCTTCCCAAGTAGCTGGGATCCCAGGCACCTGCCACAACGCCTGGCTATTTTTTTTTTGTTTGCAGCCATCATTGTTGTTTGGCGGGCCTGGGCTGGATTTGAACCTGCCAGCTCAGGTGTATGTGGCTAGTGCCTTAGCCGCTTGAGCCACAGGTGCCAAGCCATCAGATCTATGTTAAAGCAAAAGGTAATAGTTTATCTTTGGGTAATGGGATCATGATTTTAATCCCCATTTTATTTAAAAAACTGTTCATATTTTCTATAATGAATATAAATCATTCTTATTAATGTGCTATGTCTTTGAGAAGGAGGTAGAGTTAGGGTGGTAATCTATTTCAGATTAAAGGCTAAGGCTGCCAGAAATCTGACAATAGGTAAACAGTGATTAGTTGTACTATTTCCACAAAATGAATCAAGAGAAATACAGACTCCATGTGATGAAACCTAGTGGTTTATGAGGAATTTTCCAAAATGTTTAACAAAGAACAAACCCTGGTATGTGCAATTAAAAACAAGAGAAACTAGTACTTACTGTTTCTAGTGTGTTAGCGGTATGCTATATACATTTTATTGCATCTTCATGGTATCAGAACATACTTACCACAGCCTCAACTGCAGGTGAACTGTCCCCTACCACCAGTAAAGTTGAACACCTAGTACAGGCAAAATTAGAGGAGTCACTTAGCAAACAGGCACATAAACTTACTAAACACTGAATAAGTCTATGAAAGGCAAAGCTATTTAGCAAGTCAGTGGTGAAATTAAGGAACTTACTTTAATGTTTTTAATTTGTTATCATTTTGGCCCAGAATGGGTCTTTCAATCTCCAGGTCTCTGCGTCTACAAGAACAAAGGAGAAGCAATGCTCTTTTCAGGTAAAATCACAGAAACTCAGGTTATTTCCTGGTCAAAAACATCAACATCTATTGAGAAATATGAAAACTATCTTTTCTTCATAATGCCTTCCATTTCAGTGGCATCCTGAGTGTTACAGAGCAGGAATGAGGCTCCTGGCTCAACCCTGAGGGGGGATGCTAAAAGGAGCCAATTTCAAAACTCAACAGTATAGCCAGGCATTGTGGCGGGCGCCTGTAGTCTCAGCTACTGGGGAGGCTGAGGCAAGAGAATCACCTAAGCCCAGGAGTTGGAGGTTGCTGTGAGCTGTGTGACACCAGGGCACTCTACCAAGGGCAATAAAGTGAGACTCTGTCTCTTAAAAAAAAAAATTGTAATAAAAAACTCAACAGTAACACTGCTGAAATCCTCGAGTCCTAAGTGTTTAATGATCTAATTAATTTACAGGAATAAATTCCCAAAGATAAGGGAATGACTTATACTTTTGGGGGGGGACAGGGAGAGTTTTCTTTATAATGAACAGAGTTTAGCACAGAGCTTAATCTTTCTGATTTCAACTAAAAATAGGAATGTGTTATACAAATAGCTAAAGAAACAAGGTTCAAAATCTAGCTTTGCTCCCTTGTAACTTTGGGTAAGTTATAGCTGGTCCATTTCCTTAATCTTTGTCTGTGTTCCCATGAAGTTAGAAGGAGCTAACAATTTCACCTTGGAGAAGCTGATCCCAAGATTAGATTCAGCACTCTTTTTCTCTTTCTCAGTGACTGGGGGAATGTAATAGTAAGTTTTGGAACATACAAATAAAAGAGAATTTACGAGTGTTCGTGTGTTACTTCCACCTGATGACAAGCTATCAGCCAAGACAAACTAAATTGAGGACCATGACTTCTCTCCTTTGTCTTCCCTACGTGCATTTTCCTGTGCTATCTCAATTTACTTGTGTTTTTTTATGTGTACATAACTTAGGTACCTTCTGTCTGAAAACATCTTAGAACTACAACTCATATTTGAACATACCCGAAACTGCTTTCAGTTCACTCATTTTTTCTTTCCTTTTTTTTTTTTTGAGACAGAGTCTTACTTTGTTGCCCTTAGTAGAGTACCGTGGTGTCATAGCTCAGTAACCTCAAACTCTTGGGCTCAAGTGATCCTCTGGCCTCCGCTTCCCAAACAGCTGGGACTACAGATGCCCACCACAACACCCAGCTATTTTTAGAGACCGGGTCTTGCTCTTGCTTCGGCTGGTTTCAAACCTGTGAGCTCAGGCAATCCACTGCCTCAGCCTCCCAACTGCTGGGATTACAGGCATGAATTGCACTCACCCAACTCATTCTTTCTGAAACCTGTTTTCATACATCTTAAAGTCCAAATTCTTTACTATGGTGAAATAGCACAAAAGTAGTTCCAGCACACAACAATGGAAGAAGTCATTTATTACCCTTTCCCCTCTCTCCTACATGTCAATTATCTTTTTAGACCTTTCTGCTTTTAAGTGAAGAAATAGGAAACAACTGTACCCATTATAGGAACTTAGGAAGTGCTGCAGGTTTTCTTGGTTGATATCTTGGGCAATATGCAGTCTGTAGGTTTGAATCAGGTCCAGGTTGGCCTGCAACTCTTCCTAGACAATTAAAAGAAGACATGGGTAAATTTCTGAACTGCAGAACAAGTCCATTTTGTTTGGTTTGCATTTTTTTTTTTTTTGAGACAGAGTTTCAATATGTCGCCCTCAGTAGAGTGCCTCGGTGTCCCAGCTCACAACATTAACATGTAGAATTGGACATGTTAAAATTTAACTCTTGGGCTTAAGCGATTCTCTTGCCTCAGGCTTCCAAGTAGCTGAGACTATAGGTATCTGCCACTATGCCCAGCTATTTTTTTTTTTTTTAAATTGCAGTTATCATTGTTTTGCTGGCCCAGGCTGGGTTTGAACCCACCACCCTCGGTGCATGTGGCCAGCACCATAACCACTGTGCTACAGGTGCTGAGCCTGTGTTGTTTTTTTTTTTTTTAAAGACAGAGTCTCAGCTGTTTCCGTGGGCAGAGTGCTGTGGTGTCATAGCTCACAGCAACTTCCAACTCTTAGGCTCAAGTGATCCTCTTGACTCAGTTTTTCTATTTTTAGTGAAGACAGGGTCTTGGTTTTTTTGCTCAGGCTGGTCTTAAACTCATGAGTTCAAGCAATCCACCTGCCTCGGCCTCCCAGAGCTAGGATTACAGGAGTGAGCCACTGCACCCTCGCCTGGTTTGTATTCTTTTTTTTAAATTTTTTTTTTTTTTTTTTGAGATAAGTTCTCATTGTCACCCAGGCTGGAGTACAGTGGCATGATCATAGCTCAATAAAGCCTCAAACTCCTGGGCTCAAGTGATCCTCCTGCCTCAGCCTCTCCAATAGCTGGGGCTACAGATGGTTTGCATTTTCAATGTCAAAAGCCAAACTTTATTGCTCATGATGGGAACTAGGGCAGAGCCTGGGGCAGGCATCCTTAAACTGCGGCCTGTGGGCCACATGTGGCCTGCCTAGGACATTTATCCGGCTTGCCAGGTGTTTTTGCTGCTGCTGCCTGTCCTGCTTAACAGCTGACTCATCCTGGGGCCCACAGTCTGGCCCTCCAATGGTCTGAGGGACAGTGAACTGGCCCCGTGTTTAAAAAGTTTGAGGACCCCTGGCCTGGGGCTAGCATGTACCTGCAGGCTGAACGGCTGACATTTCTTTTACTTGTACCAGACTGGTTCAGTGGCATACTCTGTATCAGATGAGGGTACCAAAGAACATATTGTGGATTCAAGTACTAGCTGCGGAACTTAGGTCACGCAAACATTCTGAAACCTAGTTTCCTTATTTGGTGGGGTTTTGATTTTATTATATTTTTTTACTTTTTAGAGTGTGTGTGGGGGGTCTCACTATGTTGCCTAAGCTGGACTCAAACCCAGAGAGTCTCTGGGTCAGAGAATTCTGAAGGATCGTAGTAACTTAGGGTCTTATAACTTGAAGGCTCTATCTTATCAATGGTCAGCAGATGTGAGGTGAAGTTTTGTAGGATATGCAAACCAAGCAGGTTCTACACGGCTTGTTTGGGCTATTTTTTTTTTTTTTTTTTTGAGGCAGTCTCAGTTTGTTGCCCTTGGTAGAGTGCCGTGGTGTCATAGCTCACAGCAACCTCCAGCTCCTGGGCTTAGGCAATTCTCTTGCCTCAGCCTCCTGAGTAGCTGGGACTACAGGTGCCTGCCACCCGGCTATTTTTTTTATTTGTTGCAATTTGGCCAGGGCCAGGTTTGAACCTGCCACCTCGGTATATGGGGCTAGCGCCCTATCCACTGAGCCACAGGAAACTCCCTGTTTGGGCTATTTTTAAAAGAATTGGACATGTAAAAGCTTAATTTTGGTGCTGGAAGGTTTCTGAGCTAATAGATACAGTGAAGAAATAAACAACCTAGGAGCCAATCCACAGAAGCCATCTTTGGCTCTTTTATACCAGTTACCAAACCAGTACAGACTAAAGCTGTGGGAGAGAATTCTTCAGTAAGATGAAAATGAATAATAACTGCCCATCCTTGAACCTACTGAACAAGGAGATTTGTACTGACAGGGAAGAGAGTATGAAATATTGATAATACATGGAACAGCAAGTAACTAATAAAAACAAAACAAAAATAGGGCAGTGTCTGTGGCTCAAGGAGTAGGGCACTGGCCCCATATACCGGAAGTGGCAGGTTCAAGCCAGGTCCCAGTCAAAACTGCAAAAAAATAAAATAAACTTTAAAAAACAAACAAACAAACGAACAAAAAAATAAAAACAGGACAAATATTAACTCAAGGAAACACAAAATGTTGTACAGAAATGTGGCCATGTCCCAGCTCTAAATAACATTTAGATAGACAAGATGCTATAAATGCTTGAATTTGATCTAACATAAATTATCTTATGTTATATTGGGAAGAGAAGGGTTGGAAAAAGACAAATGTATATCATAAAGACAAGGTAGGGGTGGGAGTGTGTGTGTATATATGAGAGAGAGGGAGAAAGATCATGTGCCATAATGGAAAGTCAAGAGATAATGTCTACGGATGAAAAACCCCAAAGTGGAAATACAAGCATTAGAGAGATGGAGGCAAAGAGAACATAGTCTAAGAATGTTCTTTTTTTCCCACTATAATCCACCAAGAGAAAAATAATTTATTTTAATTTATTTTATGACATACTTATTTAGATGATTACTTAATGGTAATTAACATTTCTACATTTTTTTTAAAGGAAGCTAATTTAAGTTACAATATATATCAGGCTTATAGAAAAAAGTTGAAACAAAGCCTTCTCTTTAGACTTCATAAAGTCATCCAGATAAGAAAAGGAATATCTGGCTCGGCGCCTATAGCTCAACTGGCTAAGGCGCCAGCCATGTACACCTAAGGTGGCGGGTTCAAATCCCCAGCCCGGACCCACCAAACA